TCCTGCCAGTCAGGTCTCACTGAGTGCAGCAATGTTAATGCTATAACAGCAAAGTTTGGCTGCTATGAATGCTATTAATCTTTCAGGCCTTGACACATTGTCTCTATCCAGCTAGGTGCGGACATTCCAGGCTCCAAAAATGAGTCTGATTCATTTTTCTTGATGCTCGACCACTAAGGAGATGATCTGCCAGCCACAGTTAGCTAACCAGATGTTGTGGGGCACCTTTTCTAACCCCCTCCCTCATGTGAGGGTGGGCAGTGCTATCCTAGAAAGGTTGCCCAGTCACCCTGGATGCTGCCAGATATCTCTGCTGCCCCAGATACTGGGATGAATGACCACTGGTCCAAGAGCCACCCACATGCAGGTTTATGAGTACAACTGCCAGTGGTCATCTCCACCTGTAGCTTCACCGCTCCCCCATCATAGCGGGACTCAACAAATTAGGTTTGGACTGAGATGATTTGCAAATGAATTGTAGATGAAGATAAATTACACAACAGAAACCTATGTGTGATGGAGTTTTAAGTGGAACAGCCATTGCACAGGGGCAGTCCCACTCTCTTGGCATGAGAGACCTTAATCCAGTAGCATGGAGAACCATTACAGCTGGAGACCTCTCCTGCTGCAGTGAATGACCAGGACATCTAAGTGTCTTGTGCTTTTAGTGTTCCACAATGCCTCTTGGCCCTTGACTATTGGACCTCTGATCAGTCTCCTCTGCTCAGTCTGCCAGGGCCAGACTTCACACGCTGGGATAAGCAAATCCCCTATCTCACCAAGAGTCAAAGACCTATCAGCAACCCTCACCTGGCTTGGCTCGTCTGCTGAGATGGTTAACTGGGGTGTGGCTGCTGTACATGTTACAACTACTTGGAGCCACAGGTGAGAGCTGAGCAACAGATGGGGACTAAAGGTGAACGAGCAGCCCTAGAAGGGGCCCAGCAGGCCCCTCCACCAGAGATGCTATCCCTCCCTGGACACCCCATTACATTAGTTACATTAGGAATTAGTTTCAAAGTCATATATAATTAGCTAGGAGTTTCATCAGAAAAATGTGATTTATTTTTCAGTGGGATTGTGAATGATGGACCAGATTCCTTTTATGACTGACTCTGTATTATAAACAATCTTATGCAGTTCACAACTGCATGATAATGTTGGATGTTTTACCTTTTGAAGTAATGGTGATGACTGAGATTCTTGATCCAATATCTTTGAAGTGAGCACATGTCTTAAAATATGCCTCAGAATCTTGCACACAGATTTTCTGTGCAGAAGTAATAACTGGGTCCTAGGTAGTAAAAATGAATGTCAGCTGAACAAGAAAGTTGAGGAATCTGTCTTCCTTTTTTGAACTAGTCTAGAAAAATAGATGATTTATTTTTTCTAGAGACACATGATTTTTCTAGAAATCTAGCTTTATTCCTATAATTATTTTTAATCAAGTCTCTTCTTCCTCCACAACCAAGAACATTGTCTTTTTGTCCAAAAACTGTACATCCACTTAATCAGCTAAATTGATGCTTCCAAAATTGTTTGCTGCCCCAACATTCCCTTTCAAGAACCAATTTCAGATCCTGGCAGATAAAATATAACGGCAGCTGTCTTGTTTACAGGGTGACATCACTTCAATCCCGGAGCTAGCAGACTACATTAAAGTGTTCAAGTAAGTACTGTCTGGAAGTCTGGAAGAAACAGCACAGATCAATGAGCTTTATAATTAATAAATAGGTGTACAATAAATGCGTCTCTCTTAGTGTCTAGAGCAAGGTTTCTCAACCATGGCAACTGTAAGATGTGTGGACTTCAGTTCCCAGAGTTCTGGGAGTTGAAGTCCACACATCTTACAATTGTCAAAGTTGAGAAACTCTGGTCTAGATACTTCATCGCTTTTGCTTTGGAACTTGGAGCATGTTTTCTTAGGAAGTAGCATTTTTGTTAGATGCGCTAAAACCTTACCACTCCTTTCTACAATTTTCCTTAAATCGCAGGGTTTAACCTTCAAATACATGAAGCCTGAAGAGCATCTATGGTGCAGAAAGTATCTTGCTTGCAGTAATGACCAAAGTCAATTATCGATCTTTGCGTATTGATTTAATTTACATTCTCAGGAATTTTACTTTGGGTAATCAAGTAATTGGAAAATATAAAAGTGCAATCATTTGTGACTTACTTGATTCCTGAATGTCATCACATGATGCTTTGGTCAGTAAGGAGTGAATGTCCTTTTCCATTCCTGAAGTCAGTAGTTGGAGCTGGCATTTTCTCCAGTTTCCCTGGAAGTAGCAATTGTGTTGCATAGTTTGAAGTATTACTCAAGCATCTTTCTTGGATTTTCATGAGCATACAGATAGATAATAAATGGGATTCCAGTTAATCTGTTCTATTTACACTGCCAGAAAAGGCAAGCTTTAGACTAACTATGCCGCTCTTTAGTCAAGTTTGTTTTTACTGTTAAATAAGACTTTTTATGAGGAAAAAAAAAAGAGGAAGAGTATTATCTTGATTCAGGACATGTGAAAACTGGAAACAGTTGCATCTGGATTTTGGCTAATGTTTTGGCAGGCTTAGCTGTCTGTTACAAATGAATACCCTACCACACTAAGGATATGAGATGAATTTTGGAACTGGTACAAAGGCATGTGTTGAATTTTGTAGAATAGAGGAAGCAAAGAACAGTTGTAGGGAAGTAGCATAGAAACATAGACTGGGTTATAAGCGTTTCTGAGAAGGACTCCAAAATAGCTCTGCCAGTGTTGGTATATATTACTGTATAGGCAATTGTTTCTCCCTTCCATTTTCTTTAATCAAGTGGGGAAGATAGAGCTGGTTTTCCATTTGTTACTAGGCATTTCTTTTTGATAACTCCATTACATAATCTACTACTTCTTAAAGCTGCAGTTTTAAGATAGATCCTATTTTAAGGCAGTTAGAATGTTGGGCTTGGGTAATGATTTGATTTCCAATTGCTTAGTGAAATGTCCACAAGTTGTGGCAAGTTGTTCTCTCTGTGCTTTAGTTACCTCAGTGGACTTTTGCAGAGATGAAGTAGGCTACATCCTCTGCACTGAAGGGCTTATGTTAGTTGTGAAACAGAAAGCAGTCTAAAATTCTGATTCAGAGGAAAATCCCTACATAAATCACAGATTGAACCGCAAATCTAAGTGTATTTCTCTTATAAACAATAGCATTTTGCAAACTTCCTGTCCTTCAGAAAATATTTTCATACTGCTTTATCTGTCAAGGATTTCCTGCACATCTGTAATAGCATTCTGAAATGCATTGTAGGGGACACTATTATTTTGCGAAAATGCTGCTCATGGTTCAGCTCAGGTATTATCAACTCATACGAGCTGAAAAAAGAGTCAGCCTATAGTATGCAAGTCAATTTTGCTGCAGCTGTATGTTGCATAGAGAATCAGTAATTGTAAGCAAGCTGCACCTTTGCAGAGTCTTGCATAACATTACTAATATTCCCATGAAGAATATCTTCTCCTTCTCTATATAGACAGCTTCCTATTCTGATCAGCTATTTTAACATAATCACATTTCTGATTGAGTGAAATCTTGTAAATGGGGTGGAAGCAATGGCCCTGGGAACCTTTGCCACTTTTGGCTGGTGCACCAGTTGTGGCCAATTCCTGTAATTAGATACACTAACAATACTCATTCATGCACTTTTCTTCTTGAAGCTGGACTGCTGCAAATTTCTCTACATGGGGCTGAAGGAACCAGCTTGTATAAACCACTTTGAGCTGAGTAGAGAATCTGTGACCCTTCTGATTTTGGTAAAGTCTAGTTCCCAGCATCATCCCCCATCTTTGGCCATATTAGCTGGGAAACTAAGAATTGTGATTCAGCAGCATCCAGAGGACCACATGGATATGTGAAGGCAGGAGATGAGAGGCTGGTGCAAGTGTGTCCCCATTTCATTCAATCAGGTTGTCAGTGGTAGTAATAGTCTACTACTTTACAGGCCAAAGAAGCTAACACTGAAGGGTTATAAGCAGTACTGGTGTACCTTCAAAGACACATCTATCTCCTGTTTTAAAAGTAAAGAAGAATCTAATGGGACTCCAGCTCATCAGATGAATTTGAGAGGTAAGGGAACAAATGCAGCTTTGGTGATCTTCTTCTCATCTCTCCATTATTGAGCTACATTTTAAATTTGCTTATTTCGCTGACCCTGGGATAAGATACAAATATTTTCTTATGCAGCATTACTCCAGGATGACTCTGCATCCACCATTCCCTTCTCCGTCTTCTCCCTCACTGTAGGACGAGAGAGAGGCAGGACTTCTTTCACACCAAAATCTGTGGGCCATCAGAATCAGTAGAGAGTCAGTTTGCTTTTTGTGGCACAACTAGGGTTTGGGGGGAGGAGGGGATTGAAATATTCTGTGGAGCTGCATGTTCCTTCCACAAGGATAACCACCCCAAAGTGGTCTGCTGAGGGTCTAGTGGCAAAACTAGATGCAGAATTCTTTGATTCAACAAAAAGTTGCCTAATTGCATAATAGCTGTCTTTGTTCAATGCAATATACTGTAAAAGTACAAATAAAAAGAACCAAAAAAAGGACATTAGCTCAAAAATTACAAATAATGTTTTATTACCCAATAGAACAACCTTTTTAAAATATATTTTCCTCCCTCTGCATTAGTGTGCTGAGCACATACACATGTGCCCACACAGCTTTATTCAGATGGGGACAAGGAATTTATGCTGCATAGGACATTCCTCTGGCTACCAGCTCTGTTTGTATTCTGCAATAAGCTATTCCAGTTTCATGGATTGTGCAATAGGCACTACTGACATTCATTTTTAAAGCCTTCAAGGCAGAAACAGAGAGACTGCCAGATGACTTCAGACTATAACTATGAGCTGGAGAAAAGAAGCATGGAATACCTTTTTCGGAGCTTTTTAACAAAACTATTGATGACGGAATTTTAAAAGAATCCTGCTGGGAGAGCTGAAGTAAGGCTGAAATTGTTTCCAAGAAAATGAGTTATTTTAAAAATATCACTGTCCTTTATAAAAGGTTGCATTAAAAAAAAATCTTATATTACAGTCCTGAGGATTGTATCTCCATTTTCCAATATCCATCAATATCTTTTGAATTTTGGCCATCGGGTAGCCCTCAAAAGTACTGGCTTAAGTTTTGTTTAATCTCCCAAATTTAGTCCACAAATACCTCAAATGAAAGAGCAATAAAACAGTTTTTATCCTCCCATTTGTAGTTATCAGGGACAGGGTTATTATCTAAATTTGGTAGCACCTGGTTCTGACAATAATTTGTCAAGTTAAAATGATATTATTAATAATCAGAGCATAACAATGCATCTTTTAAAGAGCTGTATTATTTCAAGAAAGGTAAAAGACACAGTGAATCACAACCATGCTAAAAATTTATTGATCCATTAAAATTTCAAAGATGGTTGACTTTTCTTATCACTTTAATATGTCAAATTCAGGAATCTGCTCTAAATGACTTCAATTTACTAAAGTTAAATTGAAACCTTCGAGAAATGTATTGATTTTGGAATGGAAGACTAACAGAAAGAAATCTTCCATATAAAGAACTGTCTCTGAGCTGGATGGTGTTTCTTGATAATAACAAACTATTAAATGTGGTCCCGGTTGCTTTACTCAGAGAACTGAATACATAAAGAGAAATAGCTTGATGTCCCTCTTGAATATGGATGGTGAAAGTATGAGTGCTGAAAGAGAACTGTTGTCCTTATTTAACCTCCCCCTTAATATTGAGGTATTGCACAAGATAATTAAAACAGCTTTAAAAGCTTGACCAGCTGAGGCATCAGCTATATCCCTAAAGTCATTGGCCGCATTTCTGCTTCGTGCTGGATTGATTTGTGTCCTGAGTCCTACTGAGTTAAATAGGCATCTGTGCTCATAAAAACGTTGGGAGAAATTTTCATCCATAATTTTACTACTATTTTTTTTGTCACAAGGAATCAACAGAAGTTAACTTAAATTCCTGCACTTAAATCTCAGTATTTTCAATACCATTAGAGCTAAGATAAAAATTCACATTTTTCCCTACTCTGCCTAAACAAGCTGGCTGCTTGGAAAATGCAGAGCACAGTCCTGCATGCCAAGTCCAAACCCTGTCAGACCCCTCTGTCCAGATAAGCCAGGTTCTCCTGAGCAGGAAAAATATGAGTTTCTGGCTTAGTGGTAATGAATGTGACAATTTAAATACTGGTTCTTGTGAACTGGATTAAATCAGTTAGATAATACCCCTATTCAGGAACTGCTTAGATGAAACTGCTCCTCAAAGAGTCTAAAATCCTATTTAATTCAATAGGACCTGTGTATGCAAATTCCCTCTGCAAGCATTTTTGATTTCAGTGGAACACATTCATGTATATAAAGAATTCATGATCAGTGAAGTGCTCCTATAACATTTAAGACAGCATTCAATGGATACAGATCTGATCAATACATACACAACCCAATAGTATATTTGGTATCAGGGCTCTTCAATCTTTTAGTAAGTTAATGTTTCCAATCAAGGAGAGGTTTTTATGCAATTCCCTTGTTATGATGAGATTATAAAAAATCTTCCATACTATGTTGCTTCAGAGGTGAAGAGAACGAATATCTTACAAATTTCTGGGTTTTTAGATTTTGGTGGATGTCAGTGCTGATCAAGGAAGATTTTTGATACTATGATGGGTAAATACAGATTTGGATTATAAGAAAAGTTTTCAAATAATCAACTTGGAGCAATTCATTCACTAAACACAAAATCCTATATTCGGTCAGTAGAGTTCAAATAGCCCTCTTTTTATCAAAACAAATAGCACTAGGCTAATAGGTGTATTTTTTTCTTGTTTAAGATGAAATGGTTGTCCGGTATTCAAGTCTGAAAAGAGAGAAGTAGCCTCAAATCAACCCACGTGTGCTTTTGTCCCATCCCCATGTCTCTCATAAACAAAGGAAAATTTCTCCAGGCACTGTGCAGAAAGATATTGTGTCAACAGCTAAATTTTTATGTAATATATAACATCTTCTTTTCTATAGGGTGTGAGGTAACTCCTGATGTCAACATATCTGGCCAGAAATTTAACATAAAGCTTTTGATTCCTGTTGCTGAAGGCATGAATGAAATTTGGCTCCGTTGTGATAATGTAAGTTTATATGAAATGCCAACACAAGTCAGTTGGATGTAGCTGATTTTATAGCAGGAATTGGAGTGTGCACCAAGTCTTTCCTGAGATCCAGAGAAATCTGAAACTAGCCCTGCACATAGCATGATAGATAAAGAGGCCAGTATTAAAATAGGTTGCTTTTCTTAACACCAAACTCAGCTTAATTCTTTTTAACCTTGACATGAAGCCATTTGGGGTGAAGTATTATCAGTAGGCTGATGATATCCAATTGTGTATCTCAGCCTTGGGCTTAGAAGAAGATGCAGTGGAAGTCTTGACCTAGTGCCTGGAGGCTATGAGGGACTGGATGGAACAGGCTCCAATAGAACCCCAGCTAGATGAAGCTACTGTTTGTACAGAAGCTGTCTGTTCCAGGCAATTCAAACTTCAGCTTGAGATGGGGTGGCCCTTCACTGAAGAAGCAGATGTGCAGTCTGGGTGTCCTTCTGGATTCACAGCTTTTGTTTTATCAGCAGGTGAAGGCTCTGGCCAGCTTTGTCTGATCTGCCAGTTATGACCTTTCCTGATTTAGAAGGCACTGACTATAGTGACTCATGAACATACTGTTTCCTTTTTAGACTACTGCAGGTGGCTCTACAAAGGGCTACCCTTGAGGAAAACTCAGAAACTACAGCTGGCACAGAATGTGGCTTCCTACCTGCTTACCAGGACTAACTGGTACAGCAGAGTGACATCTGTATTGTAGGAGGCTGCACGGATTGCCACTTTACTTCCTAACAAAATTCAAGGTGTTGATTATCACCTACAAAGTCCTTTATGGCTCAGGCCCTTGTTACCTTCAAAACCATCCATTTCAGGTAGAATCATCTGCCTAATACATGCCGGCTGAGACAGGTCCTGATCCCCCAGGAAGAAAGGAGGTGTGTGATCTTTATGGTCATGGTCATCTGCTTAAGAGCAGCTTGCTTCCAAAAGAAAGGATGCCCCCTATCTGCTATCATTCAGAAAGGCAGTTAAGACCTCATTTATTTAATGGATATTTGCATGTCATTCTTTGGCCCCAATGGCCCTGTTGCACATACACACCCACTGAAGGTGAGACTAGGGCAGAATTTACAGCAGCCTCCTCCAGAAGGTCACACTAGAGAATACATATCCTGGACTCAAAGCATATAGAATTGAAAGGTGACAACCAGTGCTGTATGCCTGTCATGAAAGACCCTGTGATGTAACACTCCATGTGTCCCCATGTCTCCAACAAAAGTCCATGATGGAAAGCAGTTCTGAAAATACAGGACTGGGATTACAGAGCGAAAGGACTGTTGCAGGTTGAGTGTTTTTATGATCATGTAGTATGACATCTAGTTTTGGTTTTGTAGCTTTCTAGCAGTTTTCACTTTTTGAAAGAATATTGTGCAAAAATACAAAATATTCATATTGAACTGTAATTTGTGTTCATGTAAGGATGGCTATGAACCATGAACGTTATCATGTGATCTGAAACACACATACACACTGAATCTGTGGTACTAATCAAAATTATAAGGTTGTAAAGATGGATAAATTTGATGTTTGTTCACATTAACTAGGATCAGCATTTAAGTCCAACATTTTGAAACACAATAACTGAAAATACCTACATAAACAAGTGAATGCTCTGCCTTATAGTCACTTGCACAACACATGTATTTTGCATCAAATGTTGGGCTATGTATCTTCTAACATGTTTGGGATTGGAGTTTTCCAGTATCCTTGGAAACACAATAAAATATGCCAAATAGTCCATACTAACAAGTGATTCTTTTTCTTAAATTGCAGGAAAAACAGTATGCACACTGGATGGCAGCTTGTCGGTTAGCTTCCAAGGGTAAAACCATGGCAGACAGTTCATACAATTTAGAAGTCCAGAATATCTTGTCTTTTCTGAAAATGCAGCATCTGAACCCAGATCCACAGATAATTACTGAGCAGATCACAACAGACATTAATCCTGAATGCTTGGTTTCCCCAAGATACCTGAAGAAGTATAAGAACAAGCAGGTACTTACTTGGAGTTATATTTTACTGAACCCTTTATTCAAAAAATGAATATGCAGGTGTACCGAGGTTTTGGGTATGAATGGGGGAGAACAAGTGGAAGTGTAATGCAGATAAAGCAAGGACTGGGTATGGGATCCAGCTGTTACTGAAAAGAATTTGCACTGGCCTTGAAGGTCCAGGTCCTTCACCTGTGAGTCTTTCTGGACTCACTTTTGACTGTGGAAGTGCAAAGTGGCAGTAGTAGCCAAGGGTGCCTTTTGCCAGGTTTGGTTTGTATTCCAGCTAGGGACTGTTGCCCCAGCCTAAAGTTATGCACACGTTAAGTTACCTTCTGACTATTATAATGTGATCTGGTTGGGTTACCTTTGGACATGACTTGAACTCTTCATTTGCTATAGAATGTGGGCACTTACATTTTTGCTGGAACATAATCATATTAATTTGTACTAGCTACACTGGCTATTGGTGCATTTCGTGGCCCAGTTGCAAGTGTTGGTTTTGGTCCTTACATTTTGGCACAAATTATTTTAAGGATCTATGAACCCATTAGTGCTTTAAGATCACCATCTGAAGTCATGCTTATTGTCTAATTGTTGAGTATTCCAGAACTGAACCATATCCAATGGGATTTTGCCATCTCAGGACATTTCTAAGAGGACTTTAAAAACAAATTTGTTATCTCTTCCTTTTGATAGAAACCATTCTAGCCATTGCTTTTGTATACTTGAAACTTTATTTAATTGCAATTGGCTTTAAAAAAATAAAGATGCATTTTAATTTCTGTTTTGTATTGTTTTCATATGGTAAATCCTTTGAAAAGAGCATAACCTTTATAAATGGCCAGTAAGTATATTAAAAGAATGAAATAAATGCTTTCAAAATTATATCTTTCTTGTCTTCAGAGATTTCAGCTGTGAATTCCTATTACAATGATTATACAATGGTCACCTTTGATTATTTCCTAGTTGTTTTAGAATTAAGATTATAATACTGTTAGGAATCCTTTTGGGGTTACTGTGAATCCAAGCACCATTGTTTACTGTTTACCCTACTGTGGTGTAAATGGAATCCCACCTTGGGACCTTGGTTGCACCTTCAGTCTGTTTTTTTTAAACCACCTTCTGGTCATGGTCTGATGCAGGGCTGGCATATACCCATAGAGCAATTTAAACATTTGCCTAGGTTGGCATGAGGAAGTGGGATGGAGAACAGGTGAAAGTGGGCCTCAGGGAGCACAGCGGCCAGCCATGGTGACTAGGGTGATCATTGGTGGTAGATGGTAGCAAGAAGATGCAAGCAATTCTAACTCTTGCTGGTACTGCTATACCACTAAAAGAGTGCCCCAAGGTGCCACTGCTTCCATTTTTCCCAGAGAATGGCCTGTATGTGCATGCCATAGGAACCAGAGTAGGTCTGCTCCCTTGAATACAGCCACTAGCTCTTTAACTAATGAGTAATGTTGGGATGGGCAGGCTCACCTTGGAGGTTTGCCTGGAGGCCTGGAGAGTTTTACTTATACTCCATATATAAAAATATTGCTTAACTGCTTAGTACGTATCCTAGTAACTCCTAGCCATACATTGGCTGAATTTCCAATCTTACAGAGTCATAGAATGGGTTAAAAGATATATCTTGGAGATAATCTGTTTCAACCCCTTCCCAGCACAGGAATCCACTATTACAGCTTCCCTGACAGACAGACATCCAGCCTCTGTTTAAAGACCCCCAGCAAAGGAGAGCCCACCAACTCCTTACGTAGTCTGTCCATTGTTGAACAGCTCTAACTGTTAGGAAATAGTTTCTGATGTTCAACCAAAATCTACTTCCTTGTAATTTAAACCCATTATTTTTCATTTGTTCTTCTGGAACAATTCTGAACAATTCTGCCCTGTTCTACATGACAGCTCTTCTTTTTTTGTACAAGCTGATTCACGTAACAGTTCTGCATACAAGACAGTCCTTCCAAGGTCTTTAACATGAAGTACAAAGTTGTCCTTTGTTAAGTGACTTTTCTGCTCTGTTTGAAATAGCCATGCAGGTAGTCCTCGACTTATGACCACAATTGGGACCAGAACTTTCATTGCTAAGCAATGAGGTTGTTAAGTGAGTCACACCCAATTTTACAACCTTTTTTGCCATGGTCATTAAGCAAATCACTGTGGTTGTTAAGCGAATCACATGGTTGTTAAGTGAATTCAGCTTCCCCCATTGACTTTGCTTGTCAGAATCCAGCTAGGAAGGTTGCAAATGGTAATCATGTGACCCCGGGATGCTGCAACCATCATAAATACATGCCAGTTGCCAAGCACCTGAATTTTGATCATGTGACTGTGAGGATGCTGCAATGGTTGTAAGTGTGAGGACTGATCACAAGTCACTTTTTCAGTGCCGTTGTAACTTTGAACAGTTGTTAAATGAATGGTCATAAGTCGAAGACTACCTGTATCTGTTCCAGGTGGTGAGAATTATAAACAATTGGTAAAGACCAAACAATTTTGGGGAGGAAAAATCAATGAAAAATAGTTGATACACTACTCAATGAAAAAACAATGAAAGGAGGCAATATACTAGACTATGTTTTGTTTTGTTTTTTCATTTTGTCTCTTCTTCCAAATACAGATTTTAAGATGAAGTCTTAAGGCATCTTTTTTCCCCAGCATCTTTCCTACTGGTAGAATAACTCATTGTGAGCAGCTTTGCTTGTATCATGGCTCAGTAGTAGAGTGTCCAGAATGCCAGTGCCCTCTATTACATTAAATACCATTAAATGCCAAAATCTTGTGAGGTTCCACACTCTCACCCTGAGATTACACAAGTAATCACCCATTAGATGTGGCAATCTTGTAAGAGATTTGAAGCTGGGGCAGGAGCTTCTAAGGCATGAAAAGTTTGTATCAAATGTGGACTTTGATCTTGGATCAGTTATTTGAAGCATAAAGAAAATAGTTCTCCTTGGGTTTTTTCCCCTCAGACTTCTTTATGACCTAATTCACTGACTTGCTGAATGAGGTTATTTTAAGAACAGTTACATGTTTTATTTATGGCATGAAATTCTCATGTCAGTGTACAGTACCTGCATTTTAAAAAAGAAATGCAACCATCTGGCTAAAAATAAAAATGTGATTAATATTTATTTGCTAATGTTTGTTACACCAGTAGGTTCAGAATTTAAAACAACTAGTTGGAATGAGTGGGCTGGGTTTAATTCAGCTCAATTCATAATAATCTCCTGAAATTACCATGTTGTTGTCTTAGATACAATATTGTAAACTTTTGTTTTTTTTAGTAAGCATTCCATTTCTTCCAAAGTCTGTGGTCAAAATGGTTTTACTTATTTTTGTAGTGTGTTCCCTGCAAGAACCAATCCAATTCATTGTTGTACGCCACACAGAGTCACTTCCTGTGAGATGAGCAGCCGCATACATTTGATAAAGGAGGGCCTGGGATTGGAGGCACTTGGGCCTGGCACCCCCAGGGATGATGGGGGGGCTGCATTATCCAGGTGGTGATGGGTAGGGGACAATATGGCGGGAGCAGGGGGGTGGGCCATCTTTGGGGAAGACACCCCCGATGTGTGCTACCGGTGGCATGTTCTGGCCCTCCTTGCTCACTCTCAGGTCCTGACCAGCAGGTTCATAGGGGCCCTGGCCTCTGGCTGCTGCTGGTTAATGCCAGGTCAGTTAAAAACAAGGCCCCCATCATAGGTGACTTGATCACTGAGGAGGGGACGGACGTGGCATGTATGGCCGAGACCTGGCTGGGGCCCGGGTGGGTACCCCTCTCGGAAATGTGCCCAGCTTGGGTTTATGGTGTGGCACCAGCCAAGATACCAGGGCAGGGGAGGAGGGGTGGCTGTTGTCA